TCATATAAATTTGTGTGTGTGTGTGTGTGTGTGTGTGTGTGTGTGTGTGTGTGTGTGTGTGTGGTGCAGGTGTATATGTATGTTATAAGCATATACATTTGTGTTTGTGTTTTTGTGTGTAATATAGTCATGTGTGTATGTGTGTGTGGTGCAGGCATATTTGTGTATGTCTGTTGTACAGGCATATGTGTGTATGTGTGTAGTGCAAGCATGTGTATATGTATGCATGTGTACAAGCATATGTGTGTGTTGTACAGTGATGTGTGTGTGCATGTATGTGTGGTTTAGACGTGTGTATATATGTGTGTGGTATAGGCATATTGGTGTGTGTATATATCTGTGTGGTATAGGCATGTGTTTATGGGGTACAGCTATGTGTATATGTGTGTGTGTGTGTGTCTGTGTGTGTGTGTGTGTGTGATGCAGGCATATGCATGTGTGTGTTGTACAGGCACATATGGTGTGCAGGTGTGTGTGTATGTATGTATTTGTGTGTATATGTGTGGTACAACTTTGTGTGTGTGTGTGTGTGTGTGTGTGTGTGTGTGTGTGTGTGAGATGTAGGCTTATGCTGTATTGTTGTACAGGCATATGTGTGTGCTTTTGTGTAGTGCAGGTGTGTGTATAAGTATATATTTGTATGTTACAGGTGTGCATGTATGCACGTGGTATAAATGTGTGTGTGTGTGTGTGTGTGTGTGTGTGTGTGTGTGTGTTTTTTACAGGCTTATGTGTGGAGGCCAGAGGTCAAAGTCAGTTGTCTTTCTCAACACTGTATTTTAATTTCATTTTTAATTTTCATTTATTTTTAAATTAAAAACATTTTAAATATTTATTTGAGAAACTGTTACTGTATCTGTAACTTCCTGATTCAGGTAAACTAGCTGTCCAGTGAATTCCCACAATCTTTCTGTGTCCATGCCTCCTGAGTAACTGAGGTATGCTGACATGCCTTGCTTACTAAGCATTGTACCCACTGAACTGTCTCCTAGTCCCTCCACAGAAAAGGCTTGGTGAAGAAGTAGTCACTCTCCTCAGAGCAGAAGCCACCCTTAGAAGGGACCTATTTATAGACTTTCATTTCATACTCTTTATTCAGAAAAGAGACACCATGAGACTATGTAGATATGTTTGTCTCTCATTGATAACACTTTGGGTTGAGGCCATGAAGTGAAGTTGGAAAACAGAAGTGAATCCATTATTCTAAGACATACCGAGGGATCAGCATGGTGTTGAAGTTTTCCTTGCCTCAAGGGAAATACCTTGCAGCCCCTCTGTTCCTGGTTTAAGCCATTAGAATGTGCCCACTAACTTGTGGCAAAAAAGAGCAAGTGAAGAACTGTTTACCATCCTAAAGGCTTTTTGGCTGTACCTCGAGAATCATTCTATTTAATATGTTTGTGAATTGTAAGCCTGACTCCTACCAACTGTGGAGGTGATTGCTTCACACAAGAACAAAAGCCAGTTCTTTAACAAGCGGAGATCCTTTCACAAACATGTGCTTGTTAATGATGTAGACATTTCTAGTAGGGAAATAATGTCCTTTGGACAAATGTGATCATTCTAGTCATTGCTGGCCATGTGCACTCTAGTTCTTGCTTTCTGTTCCATGCTTTGGATATTGGAAGAGAATTCCTCTGTGATATTCACTGTCAAAGGTAAAACTATTTTAACTCAGAAACTGTCAATCATTAGATCCCAGGGGCCTTTAGCCAGTAATAGTTCAGCTGGCCATGGCTGGACTGAGAGTATTCTTTTCATGTGCACTGAAGCGGGGCTGTGTACTCTATTCTTTTTGGATTTCTCAAGTGCTTCATGATTTCTTGGTTCAGGGTGATTTTTTTTTCTTTCCTAGGTATATTCTATTTATTCTACTTTGATTCTCCCCCTAATTATTATAAATCTCTGTGCTAGTTTGCTATCTCCTTTATCTTTTCAACCTGGTATAAATGAAAGAATCTATGCAGAGGAAGAGGCAGAAAGATTGTAAGAGCCAGAGTTGATAGATGACTCCAAGGAAACTGTGTCTTCCAGATACAACAGGGCTGATACACAAACTAACTCACAGAGACAGTGAAAGTGAGCACAGGGCCTGCACAGATATAAGACAGGCAAAATCCAAACACAGAAGGTGAAGGGAGCACAATGTCTCACTTTAAATTTGTAGCGACTGATTTTTCCTCAAAATTAATTTATGACTTGGCTTTGTCTAGGTCAAGACAGTATCTAAGGCCTTAGATTTATACAGTGAAATGGTCTTCTTAGATAGACACACATACTTTTCTGTGTCTCAGTGAATACCCCTGTTTTATTGATTATTTTAAACTCAACTTTTGGCTTTGAAACAACCATTTCCCACAAAAAGAGTGTATTAAAGAACTGAGGCAGAAGAGCATCAAATTCATCCTTGATGTTTTGTACAAAGATGAATATGGTCTATGTCCAGGTGAAAATTAACATAGACCTCCTGTTAAATTATATGCTCTAAAGATTCACTTTAAAGGATTAGAAACTAGAAACTAATACTTATTAACTCTTTTTTAGACAACCAGCACTGCACTGGATTTTTCTAGAGATGACCTTTTTAGAGACACTAGTTTGGTAGAATTAATTAGTAGTAGTCCCTAAGATTACCAAACTGTGGTGATGCCTGAGTTTTGAAGAATGTGTGTTATAGATGTATTTCCTGAAACTTATCCTTGGTATAATGGGTCAATATTTTGCCAAGCATTTCATGGATTCATTTCTTTTTGACTATAGTTTTTATTGTTTGAGAATTTCATATATGTATATAATGTGCTTTGATCAAATTTGCCCTCCATGTAATCCCTTCCATATCCTTCTCCCCACTTTCCTTTCCAACATTATGTACTTAAAAAAACCACCGAGTCCACTTAGAACCTTTGAGTGTTTGTTGTTGTGGAATTGTCTACTAGAACATGGGTATTCTCTCAGGAGCCACTTCCCTGAAAAAAAACTGACTTTCTCTCCCTCAGCAGCCATCAGTTGCCAACATCACCTCAGCTAGGGGTGGGACTCCATGGTTTTGTGCAGGCAGTTGCAAATGCTTTTTGTTCCTGTGTGCAGCAGCCCTGTCATGTCTCACAAATAATTTTACTACCTCTGGCTCTTACAATCTTTCTGTTCCTTCTTCCACAATGATCCTTGAACCTTTGGAATGGGACTATGATACAGTTGTCCCATTTAGAGTCTCTCACCCCACAGTCTCTTATTTCCTGTGGGTTTCTGTGTTAGTAATCTACCAGATTAGGAAAGGACAGGTATCCTATGAGTATCAACAACAACAACAAAAAAGGCATATCAAGTTGCTTTAAGACTGAGCATTTCCCCATGTATTAAGTTGGGCAATGTGGCCCAGTAGGGGGAGTCAGGTCCCAAAAGTCAGTGAAAGAGTCAGAGACAGCCACTGTTTCAACTGTTAGGAGGCCCACAAGACCAAGCTACACAGCTGTAACATATATGCAGAGTACCTAGGTCAGTCAGATGCAGGCTCCCTCATTGTCAGTTCAGTCTCTGTGAGTCCCTATGGCCCAGATTACTTGATTCTGTGAGTTTTCTTGTGGTGTCCTTGACCCCTCTAGCTCCTACAATCCTTTCTCCCCTTCTGCAGATTTCCTGAGCTCGGCCTAATGTTTGGCTGTGGGTCTGCATCTGTTTCCATCAGTTGATGGATGAAGCCTCTTTGATAACCATTGGGCTAGGCACTAATCTGGTTACAGGGGATGGCCAGTTCATGCTACTTATCTGCTACTGCCTTGTAGATTCCTGGGAGATTTCTTTGTACCAGATTTTTACCTGACCCAGAAATGCTCACCCCCCTCACCCCCATGTGTACTGAATGCCCACTTTCCAGTAGTCTCCTTCAGAACTCTCCCCTTTTGGCCTCCCCTGCAACCTGATCACTCATGTTTCTGTCCCCACCCTTCCTCAGTCCACAAAATCTCTTCTATTTCTCCTTCTCTTCTATTAATACAGAAACCATTCCAATCATAGGAGATACGGCATCCTCCTAGGAACCCTCCTAGTTACCTAGTCTCTCTGGGTCTGTGTTTTAAAGATTCACTCTTTTGTCATTGAGAATTTACTTCTTATCATAGCATCCTAATAAAAACCAATGTTTTTGAGATGTTTGTATTCCATTCATTTGTTTGTATGATTTTCCAAGTTTGGCCTACCTACTGTTTAGATAAAGCTGAGAATAATGTTTTGATCTAGGACTAATAAACTGTTTTGACCTACCATTGGAAGTAATTATATAATTCATTCATGAACTATAGACTTCTTTTTGAAGACATGAGGTGGGCAATCCAAAGCAACTGTGGCCCTTCCATGAGACACAAGAACAATCCTCTGCTTGATATTTCTTGGGACACACAGGAAGTTAGGCTGACTTGAAGTACTGCTGATGTAGTCTTGGCTACTACTTCCTGTCTCACCCTGGCCATCCTATGAGTCCATTTAGACACAAAACTAATGGAAAAATAAAAGTTCATTAAGCTTAAAGTATATAATTATAGAGTTAACAATTTTAACTCAACTTACTGTTACTTTCAGACTACCATTGCAAGTCTTGTTACAACATGAAAGAACATATATAGGTGTGCACTTTCAGCTGGTCATTATCTTATAGGGATTATACACAGTACCTAGTAAGTGCTGCAAGCCATGTTTCTGCAGTGCCTTTTCCCATTGCTACCAAACCCTCCATTGCAGTCAATGAGTATTTTATTGAATACTTATTAATAGCTCATCAAAAGAATTGGGGGGAATGATGCAGAAAATACCATTGTATTCAACATTGGGAAACTGGGCAATTACTGACTGCCTCATTTAGTTCCTCTGGGGAAAACACATGGCTAGATGAAAAATGCATTAATATTGCAAAATAGTACCTTTTATGCGATAAAGCTGCCTGTTCTTGATTGGGAAGCACACTGATGAGCTGATGATGTGTTTTCATTCTTGTTACCATATTGTAGCCTCAGACTATACAGCTGACTCTCAAGAGGACATTGCAGTATTATGAACATCAAGTTATTGGGTGAGTAAAAATGCATTTTTTTTATGGAACAAACTCAAAGTGATTTCTCAAGTGCAGCTGCTGAGCTTACAAGTTAGTATGAAGTCAACTTTATAGTGTCTGTTTCCTAACATGTAGGCTGGGACTGACAAAAACACCTTAAGTGATGTCCTTTGGTTTATTTGTCTTTAATTCTTTTATTTTATTTTTTTTTGTGTGTTTAGATGGGTCTTTTTTTTTTTATTTTGCAATACAATTCAGTTCCACATATCAGCCACGGATTCCCTTATTCTCCCCCCTCCCATCCCCCTCACCTTCCTCCCAGCCCCCCACCCCCATTCCCATCTCCTCCAGGGCAAAGCCTTGCCCACAGACTGAATTCAACCTGGTAGACTCAGTCCAGGCAGGTCCAGTCCCCTCCTCCCAGGCCGAGCCAAGCAATCCTGCATAGGCCCCAGGTTTCAAACAGGCAACTCATGCAATGAGCACAGGACCCGGTCCCACTGCCTGGATGCCTCCCAAACAGATCAAGCCAATCAACTGTCTCACCCATTCAGAGGGCCTGATCCAGTGGGGACCCCTCAGCCATTGGTTCATAGTTCATGTGTTTCCATTCATTTGGCTATTTGTCCCTGTGCTTTATCCAACCTTGGTCTCAACAATTCTCGCTCATATAAACCCTCCTCATTCTCGCTAATTGGACTCGCAGAGATCCACCCAGGGCCTAGTCATGGATCTCTGCATCCAGATCCCTCAGTAGTTGGATGAGGTTTCTAGCACGGCAATTAGGGTGTTTGGCCATCCCATCACCAGAGTAGGTCAGTTCAGGCTGTCTCTGGACCATTGCCAGCAGTCTGTTGTGTGGGTATCTTTGTGGATTTCTGTGGGCCTCTCTAGCACTTTGCTTCTTCCTATTCTCATGTGGTCTTCATTTACCATGGTCTCCTATTCCTTGTTCTCCCTCTCTGTTGTTGTTCCAGCTGGGATCTCCTGCTCCCCCAAGCTCTCTTTCCCTCAACCCTCGCCTTTCACTACCCCCACTCATGTTCATGTAGATCTCATTCCATTTCTCTGTCATTGGGCGATCCCCGTGTCTTTTTGGGGTCCTGTTTTCCAGGTAGCCTCCCTGGTGATGTGAGTAGCAGACAAGTCATCCTTGTTTCATGTCTAGTATCCTGCTATGAGAGAGTACATACCATGTTTGTCTTTCTGAGTCTGGGTTACCTCACTCAGGATGATTTTTTCTAGATCCATCCATTTGTCTGCAAACCTCATGATGTCATTGTTTTTCTCTGCTGAGTAGTATTCCATTGTGTATATGTATCACATTTTGTTTATCCATTCTTCAGTTGAAGGGCATCTAGGTTGTTTCCATGTTCTGGCTATTACAAACAATGCTGATATGAACATAGCTGAACAAGTGCTCTTATGGTGTGGTTGAGCATTCCTTGGGTATATGCCCAAGAGTGGTACAGCTGGATCTTGGGGGAGATGGATTCCCAAGTTTCTAAGAAAGCGCCATATTGATTTCCAAAGTGGTTGTACAAGCTTGAAATCCCACCAGCAGTGGAGGAGAGTTCCCCTATCTCCACATCCTCTCCAGCATAAAGTGTCTTCAGTGTTTTTGATCTTAGCCATTCTGACAGGCGTAAGGTGGTATCTGAGAGTTGTTTTGATTTGCATTTCCCTGATGATTAGGGATGTTGAGCAATTCCTTAAATGTCTTTTGGCCATTTGAGCTTCCTCTGTTGAGAATTCTCTGTTTAGTTCTATAGCCCATTTCTTAATTGGACTGTTGGGCATTTTGATGTCTAATTTCTTGAGTTCCTTATATATTCTGGATGTCAGTCCTCTGTCAGATGTGGGGTTGGTGAAGATCTTTTCCCAATCTGTAGGCTGTCGCTTTGCCTTGTTGACCATATCCTTTGCTCTACAAAAGCTTCTCAGTTTCAAGAGGTCCCATTGATTGATTGTTTCTCTCAGTGTCTGTGCTACTGGTGTTCTATTTAGGAAGTGGTCTCCTATGCCAATGCGTTCAAGACTACTTCCTACTTTCTCTTCTAGCAGGTTCAGAGTAGCTGGATTTATGTTGAGGTCCTTGATCCACTTGGACTTAAGTTTTGTGCACGGTGATAGATATGGATCTATTTGCAACCTTCTACATGTTGATATCCAGTTTTGCCAGCACCATATGTTGAAGATGCTTTCTTTTTTCCATTGTGCACTTTTGGCTTCTTTGTCAAAAATTATATGTTCATAGGTGTGCGGATTAATGTCAGGGTCTTCAATTCGATTCTATTGGTCCACATGTCGGTTTTTATGCCAGTACCAAGCTGTTTTTATTACTGTAGCTCTATAGTAGAGCTTGAAGTCAGGGATCGTGATGCCTCCAGAGGTTGTGTTATTGTACAGGATTCCTTTGGCTATCCTGGGTTTTTTGTTTTTCCAGATGAAGTTGAGTATTATTCTTTCCAGGTCTGTGAAGAATTGTGTTGGTATTTTAATGGGGATTGCATTGAATCTGTAGATTGCTTTTGGTAAGATTGCCATTTTTACTATGTTAGTCCTGCCTATCCATGAGCATGGGAGATCTTTCCATTTTCTGACATCTTCTTCAATTTCTTTTTTTCAGGGACTTAAAGTTCTTGTCATATAGGTCCTTCACTTGCTTGGTTAGTGTTACCCCAAGGTATTTTATGTCATTTGTGCTATAGTAAAGGGTGATGTATCTCTGATTTCCTTCTCCGTTTCTTTGTCCAATGTATATAGGAGGGCTACTGATTTTTTGAGTTGATCTTGTATCCTGCTATGTTGCTGAAGGTGTTTATAAGCTGTGTCAGTTCCTTGGTGGAATCTTTGGGGTCACTCAAGTATACTATCATGTCATCTGCAAATAGGGAAAGCTTGACTTCTTCCTTTCCAATTTGTATCCCCTTAATCTCCTTATGCTGTCTTATTGCTCTGGCTAGAACTTCAAGTACTATATTGAATAAGTATGGGGAGAGTGGACAGCCTTGCCTCGTTCCTGATTTTAGTGGAATTGCTTTGAGTTTCTCTCCATTTAATTTGATGCTGGCTGTTGGCTTGCTGTAAATTGCCTTTATTATGTTTAGGTATGTTCTCTGTATTCCTGATCGCTCCAAGACCTTTATCATAAAGGGGTATTGGATTTTGTCAAATGCCTTTTCTGCATCCAGTGAGATGATCATGTGGTTTTTTTCTTTGAGTTTGTTTATATGGTGTATTATATTGACGGACTTTCGTATGTTGAACTACCCTTGCATCTGTGGGATGAAGCCTACTTGATCATGGTGGATAATTGCTTTGATGTGTTCTTGGAGTCTGTTTGCCAGTATTTTATTGAGTATTTTTGCATCAATGTTCATGAGGGAGATCGGTCTGTAGTTCTCTTTCTTTGTTGTATCCTTGTTTGGTTTAGGAATCAGGGTAATTGTAGCCTCGTAGAAGGAGTTTGGTAATGTTCCTTCTGTTTCTATTATGTGGAGCAATTTAGAGAGTATTGGTATTAACTCTTCTTTGAAGATCTGGTAAAATTCTGCGCTGAAACCATCTGGTCCTGGGCTTTTTTTGGTTGGGAGACTTTCAATGACTGTTTCTATTTCATTAGGGGTTATTGGACTATTTAAATAGTTTATCTGGTCTTGATTTAACTTAGGTATGTGGTACGTATCCAGAAAGTTATCCATTTCTTTTAGGTTTTCCAGTTTTGTCGAATAGAGGATTTTGAAGTATGACCTGATGATTCTCTGGATTTCCTCAATGTCTGTTGTTATGTCCCCCTTTTCGTTTCTGATTTTGTTGATTTGGATGCTCTCTCTCTGTCTTTTGGTTAGTTTGGATAAGGGCTTGTCTATCTTGTTGATTTTCTCAAAGAACCAACTCTTTGCTTCATTAATTTTTTGTATTGTTCTCTTTGTTTCTATTTTATTGATTTCAGCTCTCACTTTGATAATTTCCTGGCATCTATTTTTCCTGGGAGACATTGTTTCTTCTTGTTCTAGAGCTTTCAGGTGTGCTGTTAAGTCACTAGTGTGAGATTTCTCCAACTTATTTATGTGGGCATTCAGTGCTATGAATTTCCCTCTTAGTACTGCTTTCATAGTGTCCCATAAATTTGGATATGTGGTGTCTTCATTTTCAATGATCTCTAGGAAGTCTTTAATTTCTTTCTTTATTTCTTCCTTAACCCACTGGTGATTCAGTTGGGTATTATTCAGTTTCCATGAGTTTGTAGGTTTTCTGTAGTTTTTGTTGTTGTTGAAATCCAACTTTAGACCATGGTGGTCTGATAGAACACAGGAGGTTATTCCAATTGTTTTGTATCTGTTTAGATTTGTTTTGTGGCCAAGTATGTGGTTGATTTTAGAGAAGGTTCCATGGGGTGCTTAGAAGAAGGTATATTCTTTTTTGTTAGGATGGAATGTTCTGTAGATATTAAGTCCATATGAGTCATGACGTCAGTTAAGTCCTATATTTCTCTGTTAAGTTTCAATTTGGGAGATCTGTCCAGTGGTGAAAGTGGGGTGTTGAGGTCTCCCACTATTAATGTGTGGGGTTTTATATGTGATTTAAGCTTTAGTAGTGTTTCTTTTACATATGTGGGTGCCCTTGTGTTTGGGGCATAAATGTTCAGAATTGAGACTTCATCTTGGTGGATCTTTCCTGTGATGAGTATGTAATGCCCTTCTTGATCTCTTTTGATTGATTTTAGTTTGAAGTCTATTTTGTTGGATATCAGGATGTCTACACCCACTTGTTTCTTAAGACCGTTTGATTGGAAAGTCTTTTCCCAACCTTTTATTTTTAGGTAGTGTCTATCTTTGAATTTGAGATGTGTTTCTTGTATGCAGCAAAAAGATGGGTCCTGCTTTCGTATCCATTCTGTAAGCCTATGTCTTTTTATAGGTGAATTAAGTCCATTGATATTGAGGGAAATTAGTGACCAGTGATTGTTCATTCCTGTTATTTTTTGGTGGTGATGTGTGTGTACTTCTATACGT